CAGTTTTATGATTAATTGATCTTTTTTCATGCTTTTTGGTTACTTCATAACTTAACAGAAAGTTTGGAGCATTTAAAGCTTAGCCTTGATACAAGCAATCTTTGTATCTTTCATGCTTTCCTGAATATTTTTTGCTGTTGCTGTTGCTTCTAAATTTTATGTATGAAACGACCTTTGTCGTCCTTTATCTGACGTAGCTTGGCACAAAGTTCAGAAAAATTAGACGTATCGGAAATATTTTCTCTTTTAAAATGCATCCCCCACACGCAATGTTATGTTTAAAATAAAAAAGTTTAAACGCACTTTTAATCAATTCATTTGCTTCATATCAAATTGAAATAATTATTGAGCTGGGTGATCTCGCAGTGATAAAAAATTGGAATTTTTGCCCGGACTAAATCATTCCAAATTGAACAATTTGATAATCTTCAAACCCCTTAATCTTATGAAAACAGTCTTTAATATTGGGTTAATTTTGAGATTGTAAAATCAATATTTTTCCGACTCTATAAAAACTCAAAGTTAGTCTGGAGAAAAAAAAAACACCTCGAGTACAGATATTCGCTACATTTTCGAACAAATTATTAGCATAAAAGAAAAAGACTGCTCGTATCAGGGCGAAAACCTGAAAATTTTGACTGCTGTTTAAGTTCCATGGAGCATTCTTTGCTTTGAAAATTGATGACAATTTTTGAACAAAAAAAATTCAAAAAAAATTTCGAGTTTTGTTTGAAAATCACCCCCGCACGCTATATGAAGTAAACGGTAATACATTTGGCACACAGCGAGTTTTTAATGGTCCGAATTTAATTCCTCAATTCAATTTGGAACGATTTTTAACACTGATTAAATACCCTGCTACAAATTAATACCGCGAAGCTATTGCGCATTAATTGACGCAAATTGGCCAAATTGGCAATATTTAAACCCCATAACATAACAACAAATATCTCAGTTGAAATACATTTCATCAATGAGCTCAAAAAAACAATATATTACGGATGATATAAACATCGCTCAAAAAAAACTAGTTAAAAATCTAGAGCTAAAAGAAACACGCGAGCACAAAAATTCCATTAGGTTCTTCAAAAGTCGGAACAATAAGTGATCTCAGAAAAACTGTGGAAATGTTACAAGTTTTCGAAATGATTCAAAGTAGTTAAAAAGTATATATAAATCATTCAAATCTTGTTCAATTGTTCAAAACTTCATTGTTCAGACTTTCACCGAAAGTTCAACTTTTTGAATTTTTTTTGTGCTGAAAGTTAAACTTTCGCTGTTTGAATTACAATTGTAATTGACCGGACTACTTTCGATGAAACTAACGGAACATTTGTGCTCCTGTAATTTTTTTTTTACCAGACAAACTTCCATTTTTTAGCTAGCAGTTTTTGACAGAGTAACCTTTCATCATTCGAAAACTAATTGTTGTCCTGAGCTGAAATTTAAAAAGATATTTCACTAGTGATTAAATTTTGTTAAGTTATGGGGGTTTAAAGATTGCCAGTTTGGCCAATTTGGGACAATTAGCTTGCGTTAATTTTTGTCCGCCTAAGCGGAGCATTAAATTGTATTTAAATCTTTTCCAAATTAGATTGAGACATGCTTTTGGTGCATATAAAATACAGTCCAATACAGGCAGTCAGAAAAATTCTGAAATCTAAAAAAAATACTTCAGTTAATTTGTAGGAAAGTGTGTTGAGAAGTATAAAAAGCAGTCTTTATTGAATGAGATTGCTTGCATGTAATGAGAAAGCCCTGATTTTTCCTAACAACCTGTAACGAACATCCAATAGTTTTTGAAAAAAACTGATAAACTAGAAATTTTGTAAAATCAAAATGAAACTTCAGTGATAAAGTTTGTCGTGTAATGAAGCAAGACTGCTCCTAAAAATGACCAATTTCTAATTGTTCCAACTGCCCTGAAACTGGTCTTGGTTAAAAGTTACGTTAAAGTGAAATGATACAATCTCCCAGTGGCTTGACGTTGAAAGCGATTGGTATCACTAACCACCAGGCGTTTTCTTGGTTAGATTGCGTATTTAAAAATACAACTTTGCATATTTAGCGAAACAGACCCGTTTAACATTCTGATTTAAATCATTCAAATAAACCAAAATGTATAAACGGCAACAGATGGTTGGTTTTTTCTCATCAACTCCAACTTATGAGTCATGAAAGTACTGGCTCTTTTCGAGTTTTTTTTCTAAAAAAAAAGTTGGGTAACAAGACAAATTGAAATTAATTGAATAGAAATGAAAAGTTCGAAAAAAATACTTATTTATCTGAAAATAAGAAACAGATTAAATTCAGAAAAACTATGAATATCAAATTGAAAATCCCGATAGAACCATTTTTTTTGAAAAACTTTTGGGCACTGAGATCAAAACTAATTTTTCCTAAATTTCGATTCAAAAAAACAACCTCCGTCAGCGTTCATAAATCAGCTCAAATAATGACTAAAAGGGCGCCGTTCGTATAATAATCCTTGCTAGCTGCTTCGTAACTGATTACTTTTTCCAATTTTAAGCTAGAAGAGTATGAAATTTGAGCTGAAAAACCAGCTATTTTAATTCCTGGTTTCCTAATTCCTGATACCCGAATTCCTGGTGGAGTCTGAGACGTTATTGGTTTTCAAGATTGAGTCTTGAGTCAGTAAAAAAATCAGAAATCACTGAAACTGATTCATATAAACTGTATTTGTGCGCCGCTGCTCGCGTAACTAGGAAACGCCCTATAATTGATCTCCAATAGTTGTAATTGATTTGGAGACTTCGATAAACTGGAAATTTTTTAAAATCAAAATGAAATTTCAGTGATAAAGCTTGATCGTGCAATGAAGCAAGACTGCTCCTAAAAAGGACCAATTGCTAAGTGTTCCAACTGCCCTTAAAATTGGTTTTGATTAATTTCGGTTAACCATGGCTAGTTTTTGTCACAAATTGAAACATAAACAAGTTTTTAGATAGGATGTGCAAAATAGGCTTGCTGTGCCATACCCTTGAACAGTTGCCATCTGTGTTTTATATTAAATCAGTTACCATCCAATTGGCTATTAATTGCACTATGAACCAAAGATTTGTTTCGCTTCGCTTTTGAAATTTTTTCTAAGATTAAAGATCTTTTTTTTATTATGTGCTAGCAAATTAAACAATTAAATTGAAAAAACTCTGCCATCCAGTTCTTATGGTAGCCGAGTGTGTTCTACAAACTGGTTGTACCGCGATAAAATTGAGCTAAATTTAAGCTCATTGGATGCAAACACTTCTACCGAATGGCTCATACTTTAGTTTCCCCAACAAAATTGAGCTTTGACAGAAGCTTGTTGAAAAGAAAAATCTCTGCAAAAAGGCTTTTAATTTGATTTCCGATGCATTAGTCGACGTTTGATAAGACGAACAACGTTTTTTTTGGGTATAAAAAGAAAAAAATTTTGGACGCAAAACGGTTTTATTCAAATAACTTTTAAATTATGTAAACTCAATTCTAGATAACTTGAAATTTACTTTGAAATGTTTTTTGAACTGATCTAGATTAACCAACAATCTCAAGAACTTGATTTGATGGATTTTTTGGCAGATTTTTTTCTATTTCATTAAATTTCCATCTACGCGCTAACAGAATCGTTTTTAGCTCACCATATAGCCAAACAAAACTGGTTGCCAAGCCCAAAACTTTAAAAGTCTTCGATCATTAAAATTATCTCGTCAAGCAATATTGTCACAAAAACTAACGAATGTAAAATTTAGGAATCTTTATTTGCAATTTTTACAAAATTTGATATGTTTTTGAAAAAAGGTCTCTTACTTAAGAATTAGTAAATTAAACTTTTTGAGTCGAGATGTATTACATTTGCGATATGCGCTAGTTTTTCATGCGCTAATCAAAAATCAAAATAAGTTGATGAACTTTGGTTAAGGCGTTGCTTAAAACCTCTGAAAATCTGAAAAAATATAAATTCTTTTTATTCAAACTAAACAAAATTTGGTATTTATCGGAAAAAATTTTTTTAACTTATTTTGGTTTTTAAAATGCTTTCTCACGCGAAATGTCAATACAGAAAGAATTTAGCGTTTTTGTTCCGTCTTTTTGAAGAAAGTAACAGAATATTTGTTGACGCTCTTTTTTGCATCTGCTGAAAGGTATATTTGTCTTCAGCTTAGATGTGAAAAGATATTTTATCTGTGATCATTTTTAGTAAGTTAAGGATGTTCAAAGATTGCAAAATTGGCCCATTTGAGATAATTCACGCCCGATTGATTTCGCCCTATTATCGCGTGAGCGGATGTTTAATCTCTCCTAGAACTCATTCCAAATTGAAATACTTTGCTACAGGCAAAGTATGTATTTGCACATAACATGCGTATGCGGGATTTTTTAAAATTTTTCTTCTTTGAAAGTTTTATTAACTTTTTTACAGCAAACACTACTCCATAGAACTCAAAACGCAAACGGTGCGTTCAAGTTTTCGCCCTGATACGAGCAGCCATGTCTATTTGGAAGTTGATTAAGAAAGAGAAATCGTGTTTGCAAATAAGTGCTCGCAAAAAGGTCGTGTGCATGTTCCAAAAATAGTCACAAAACAATTTTGACTTGATCATCGTACGCTATTGAATCGTGCATAAATTCATGTGAAAAATTAAGAAGAGGCTGGCCTGTCGGCACCATTTTCAGACATGACCTTGTGGGTTCAACGCCTTTCTCGATATGGAATATTGCATTCGATTAAATTCGATAATTTTTTATTCGATTTCAACTCATTTCAATCAGGAAAAAATAAGAAGCAAATGGGTATTGTTGTCTACTCTTTTAAATCTTTTTTATCAGACCGGTAGCAATGTTTTTATTTAAACTCGAAATGCCCGTCAAATTACGCGTGTAAGAAAAAGTTTTCCATACCTAGCATACAACTTAGTTCTGATTGCCCAGTTTTTGATGTGTGATCAGCCCAATGAAAATTTCATTTCAGGTTTTGACTTAATAGCGAAATTTCTACTAACCGATGTTAACAGTGACGAAGAGTCTCATTCGGAACCGTTTCACCATTATCTTCCCATCAATCGGACACAGAATCAGCAAAGCTCTCTCGACACAGAGAAAGAGCAAAACAGGCGAAGTGGTAGTTATATTAGCTCCGTTATACACAGCTGTCAAATAACAACCCGCTTTGTCCGATCTAAAAATGTCAGCCGAGTTGATGTTATAGGTGTTGTTGGTATTGTTGCTGTCGGACCCGTTATTGTCGGAGTTGTTGTCGTAAGATTGATGGAATCCGAATTGTTCCCAAATGGGGTAATGAAAGCGACAGATGAGACATAGAAGATTGACTGGACATACGATTAAGCCATCCACCAACATCTAAAATTTAAAAAAAAGTGACTAAAGGTCAACATAAACTTTGTTCTTGCGCGGCATTTATGAGTTTGGTATTTCGAGCAGTTCCAATTTGTGGTTGTCTTGTTTTTGCCTTTAAGGTAATACTCGTGGCCTGATACCACTAGCATTTGTTTGTTTTTCGAAGATAAAGTAAAACGGAAAGACGCGTCAAACATTATATCTGATAGAGTAGTATAACAATAGTTAAAGAAATAGGTAGTAAGATTTTTTAAACAAAACTCACAAACGTCTTTTGTTGCCTTCAATTAGCACCATGTAGATTATCTCTGTTTTAAACGCGTGAATGAGGGATTATTTCTTAAGCTAATCGAAAGGCAATTGATTTTGAGCGACAAATGCATGAAAAGAATTAAGAATGGCTTCTCTGGCCTCAATTTGTACACCTTATTGGAATACGACTATGAGTGTAAAAGGACTTAATAAAAGGAGTTAACTTGAAACAAATTATTGTCATTAAGAGGGGGTTAAATTGTTGTGGGGTTATCTTGTTACGAGGTTATAAAGTAGGGGGTGTAAACATTGGGGGTTGAATATAGTGGGATTAAAGAGTACGACACCGAACGAACATAATTGTGTAAACATTGACCCCCTGTCTTCGAAAGTCGGAACAAAAACACCGAGTTTTAAGTGATAGTCTTTGAAATGCTATTATTGGAGCTCACACGAAACATTTGTAAAGTTTTAAGCAATTAGCTTGCGCGGATGGTTATCAAACTGCCATATCTTGACGCCAAAATGACATCAAAATAAGGGTGCATATACAAAACAGTCCCATACAAAACAGTCCAACACAAAATAGTCCCAAAAATTATGTAATGGAGGAAAAAAAAACAGTCCAATACAAACAGTCCGGTTTAAAGTCGCCGGTGGGGTAACTAGCTCTAAATTTCGTATTAAGTCCTACCCTCTGTTGGCAAGCTCGCAACACGTTGGCGCGACTGCGGCGGTCACTATTTTGTTCATTATGCTTGTTGAACAAAGGACAATTCTCGGCCTGCCGGCTTGTTAAAGCAATTATTAATTGGGTCTATTTTTCGGATTGTTTTGTATCGGACTGTTTTGTATGGGACTGCTTTGTACAGACACGAGAATAAGGTACCATAATTGTATCTCAAAATCATATTTATGTAAAATAATTGCAAAATAACAGTGACTACAGCAATCGCGTCAACACTTCGCGAGCTTTCTAACAAGAGGGCGGGGGACTGTACGAATTTTTGAACTGGTTATCGCCGCAAAGCCGCGACGTGATTGAAGCTTGCCGATGGGCGACCTCTAAACATCGAATGAAAAACGACCATTTTTTTGATATCCCGCTTTCAAAACGCCAAACTCTCAATTTTTCTTGAAGCAACATTTATGTGTTTTTCGCCTTTTTGACTCTTCGGATTGATGCCCTAATGCCGCAAAAAAACCACTGGCCACAAAAAATGAAGACATGAATAGAATGACATTCTTGAAAAATTTTGGCAATCAAATTTTGGCAACGTTTGGCAGACAAATCAAATCAACATATTATATTGCTTATTAAAATCATTGAGACAAAAAGTAAATACAATTTCTCAAAAACTTTTTGTCATAAATAATTATCTTATCATACAATCATATCACTGTATGATTGTTGTAGGACTTTATTTTTAGGAGTTATGTAGTTAAACTGTATAATAGGCAATTATTTCACGAGCTTAACAAAAAACTTTCAAGATTTCGTTTTTTTTGTTTTGCTTTAATTTTTGGTTTGGCTCTCGGAAAAATGCGTGGGATCTTCAGAATGTAGTTAATAAGAAATAGGTTTTTTGGCAAAAAAATTGTTACTCAATTTTTTGTAAATTTTTTTTCGCGAACATTTTATTATTTTTTTTTCAAATTGCTCCCAAAAAACTGCAAATAACAAAAATTTTCAGTCAAAATAAATTTTTTGATTCTTATCGGTTTGAAGCCGACAAAGAAATTTGAAATTTCTTCTAGAATAAAAAATAAGCATCTAACGCCATAGCTCGTTTTTTTTCCATGAAGGGTTGTCAGATAATACTAAGGATCTATCAAAAATATGTTCGTAGCTCAAGTAAAAATTATCCCGCAGTTACTTTCATATGAAGTCTCTCCTTTTCAGCTAATCTTAGGAGCTATGCAGAGCGTTATAACTAAAATGAAATTAGAGTGGTGAGTTTTGTATCTAGTTCGACAAATCTAAGCAACTTGTACCACCTAGAAAAAAGAAAAAAAGTTCTGACGTTCTTGCAAAACATCCAGCATAATTTTTGCTGAGGTAAGAAATATAGCTGTGCTGGACTGGGTAGAAAACAAAAACCAACTTTGCATAATTTGTTTCCTAACAATCAAAAACGTTTTTTTTTCTCAAACACAGAAACTTTTTGGCCGCTAGAAACGCTTATCATTCAGTTCTGCTTAACAGAAATGATATATTCATTTTTTCTAGTTTTTAAATCTGGTATAATTGTTTATTTAAAATGTAAAAAGCTTGAATTGCTGGTTTTTGCGTTGCTTTAGTTTATAAAATTTGGTAAAAATAAGATTTGCTTTTTTGATTCAGCCAGAATAACTTCTGCAGAAAAAAGTAAAACTTTTTTGACAAAAAAGATATGCCCTGTATTCTCCCAATTTTTTATGCATGATAAACTATTTAAATCACTGAAGATCTAAAACCACTTTTCTTTGAGTCCTAAACAATCATCAGTACTATCTTAGATTGGGTAAATTGAAATTCTGCAGCAAATTTACGCCATTTTTTCTATCATATGTGGTTCAATTGGCAACCTCCCTAAATAATCTTTTTCCTAGCCCTATTGGTTTTGAAAAATATTGTTTTTGTTCCAACTTTAGGAGAAAGCGAAGGATAGTTCTCGCTCGAAGTTGCTTCTTTTTACAGACACATTTCAACTTTTGAATTTGCGGTTGACATAGCTCTTGATGTCTTGAACTCAAACTTTTTTTAAAAAAAATAAAGGTTTTACTTTTGATATATCTTCACAAAGTTATAATGGCTTGAATATTGCCAGTTTGACTAATTTTGGATAATTAACGAGCGGTATATTTTGTGCATTAACGCATAATTCAATACGACCTTAAAATTAATCCCTTTCGAATTGAGGCATGCTAGTTGCCCTAAACAATATGCTACACAATTGCTTTTTTAAAAGCGTTCGGGGATATATTATGCGAACGCAATTCTATTAAATTAAGGGGTAGTTGGAAAAATCAGGGAGTCACCATAGTAGGAGCTGTCTTTTTTATTAATATCACACATTGACTTCAGTTTCAAAACAGTTATTCTGACAACAAAATATGGTACTTGACTGAAAAAAGGAGGTTTTTGTCAAGTAGAGAAATCATTAAGAAGGGCAATTGATTTGATTAACATGATCTTTCACGAGTTTTCCAAAAACTACACTCAATGTGAATGTAGTTAAGAATTGAAAGGGTTTAGGAAAATAAAGGCAAACTGTAATGAAATAAAATTAAAGCAATTTTTGTTATCTCATCAGAATAAAATAAAAATCAGAATATAATAAAAATAAAATCTTTTCTAGGTCTCCAAATTTTTTTCACGCAGTCCAATTGTCTACGTAAACTTCTCTGCGTGAAAAACTATTTACGTGAAATTCTCTTAAAAAATGCTCCCATGTGAAACAATTGGCTTGTGACTGCATAAGGCAAGGGAAAAAATATTTGATTTTAACATCACCTTTCTAAATCATTTATTACTCTGTAAAATAGTTGTTAGTGTACAAAAAAATCAGAGCAAGAAACGGAAAAATTTCCTCTTATTTTTTTGCTGAGCTAGTTTTGGCAGAGAAAACTATCGATAATCACCCACTAATTCCTTCTTTTTGGGAAAGTGAAATTTAAATATGTGTTAACTACTCATTTGCTAATAGAAAAGCAAAACAAAAGATAACCATTGGTACCCAGACACTTAAAATTACCAAGTTATCGGAAAAAAATATACGTTGCCGAGCTATTTTCAAGAGAAGGAAAATATCTTGATTTACGACTCCTTTATTTTGTAGAAACCGTAAATTAAAAACAAAATAACAGCTGGACAAACAAAAAAAATATATCTCTCTTTTCACCAGATTAAACTGATATTTTCTAAATTGTCAAGCTATTTTGGGTTCTCTTTAAAAGTCGAGGACAACCATCTAAAGCATAACGTCCCAACATCTTAGAAATTTTCTTAAAATTAAAAGTACAGATTGGTATTAAAGAAATAGGTGCAACTAAAGGTGAAACAAAACTGCTCGTATATCACCTCTTAAAAAGTTTTAGATTATTTTTTACTTTCTCTGACTTTTCACACTCACGCTATGCAAGATGAAGGTTTTAGGGCCTCTTTTTTTAGCGCAAGTTATAACAAGACTGCTCTTATCAGCAAGAAACTCTGAATGGTTTAATTTCTTTGGAATAATTGAAATAAAATAATTGATGAAAAAAAAACTGAAACTCAAAACAAAAAATGAACAAATTTCAACAATTGCTAGTTAAAGTCTAAAATTTTCTGGAGAAAAACTCACCCCGAGCACAAATATTCTGTCCTATTGTGCGGGTTAATCCGATATTTTGTGCATTAATTTTGCGGGTTAGTTATTCCAAATTATCCAAATTAGTGATTTTCAAGCCTCCATAAAATTTTCAGATGTTTTTGTACTTTTGAAGTTAAAAATTGAGCTCAAAGCAAAATTATTTCTCCACTGCCATAAAAAACTTCCGTCAAAATTGTTTAATTAAAAAGTCAAAGTTGATTGAACAAAACAAAACAGCCTCAAGCATAAAAATTCCGTCACTTTCTTCGAACGTCCGGAACAAAAAAAATTATTTTGTATTGACATGGCGCGTGGGAAATCTCCTTAAACACAAAATGGATTCAACATATTCTACTCCGATAAGAAAAACGCTAGTGGAATAAAAAAAAGAAACACGTAAAAACATTTGTTTTACAT